CCACCGTGCTTCATATTATAACTTTTAACTAAATTAATTAACTGTAATTCAATGTCATAGGCACCATTGAAAAGCGAATATTTTGAGTTTTTGGGCAATACGAGGACATGATTTTTTGCTTTTAGAAACTGTGATGGTCATTTATTTTTAACTATTAGCTGACATTTCTACAGACTACAGTAAAACATTTGTTAGTTTTGCTATATCCAGCCACATGTTGAAGGATGAAGCTGCACATTGTTGCCCAACAGGTTGAATAGATTCAACTGGAGGGCAAGAAATGCTCTTCTTTGCCTTTTTTGAAGGAGACATTCAGTTTAACCTAAAAGACAGCTCAAGTGCTGTTGACCACACAGTGTAACTACAAGAAAAAAAGAAGCTGTTGAGATAAAACTTGCAGGTGAAGCTTGTGAATGTTTTGGTTTAAAGCATCCATCTCAGTGTGTCGCTGTGGTTCTGCCTCTTACTTTCTGACTTGTATACACACTGCGATGAAGAGGCGAGACGAGCAGCGCACCCACGTACACTCTGATAGCTTGTTGAGGCTGATATACTGCTAAAAGGTCAGCCGGGTGTCTTGATCCAGACAGCGAGATGGATGACGGGATCTCCATCTTATTTCTTTCGTGCCCCGTTCGCTCTCTGGATCTGACCTTTCGGATGACAACCTTGTGAAGAGCACTTCATCGGAGCAGGCCGGGTCACCCCTGGGAAAATGAAGGGCTGCGGGGAGAGAGGCTGCGAGGGGTCGGAGAGAGGGAGGAAGAAAAAAAAAAGAAAGAAAAAAAAATCTGCAGCGTCAATTATCTCTCAAATGTCACAAGCTGCTTCTCAGGAGGAAGACTTGCCTCTCGTCTTCAGCACACACCGATCTGGTTCGTATGTTACGTATAATCCTCCAAAGGTGGAAGCTTTTAACGTTTGCTGCTGTGGAGCTGCAATCAGAAAAACGCCGCGCCAGATTTGCACAAACAAGATTCACCGATGCAGCTCTTAACTGACGCCGATGCTGCCGAGTTTTAGATTAGATTCATTCTGTCGCTGCGTCCTTTGCATTTCAAACAGCCTCAGTTCTCCCTGGTGCTCTTCAGGGTTATTTCATGTACTTCAGATGGTTCCAAGTGTCTCGGGGAACTTGCCAAAGTTCTTCTATTGATTCGGTTTATTTCACTCTCCCGTCTGTCTTCATAGAGACAATAAACACAAAAAAATTAGTTTACATTTAGTTTTAGTTTTTAAAAAATAAAAAAATAAAAATTTGATGATGTCATTTGACAGATTTCCCCTTATTTTCTTAAAATTACAGATAGTAACTAGTAAAACCTAAAAAAAACAAAAAAAGAAAAAAAAAACCCCATCAGTTTACAAACTAAATAATGCCCACATTTTTTAAAAAGTATTTTTAAGAATCACATATCATAAAATTACACTGTTTAAGTATTTAAATCTGCTAAATATATAGTCTTTAGCAGATATTTACTGTTATTTGAAAGGAAAGTTTGTATATTAAGGTTGAACATGGTAAATTTGTTAACTGTTAGGTTACTGATTTTTCCTGTTTTGTTTAATTACTGATGTTATATCGGAAAAATCCCAGAAAAAAAAAAAAAAAATTATTCAACAATAACTAGAAAATAAAAACAGAAAAAAAGGTCATCAAGAATCTGTATTTTTACAAATATTGTACAAAATTGTTCTTTTATAGTGTGTGACCTTAAAATTACCCTCTTTAAATGGTCTGCACTTATATAGCACTTTTCTACCTTTGCGGCACTCAAAGCGCTTTACAATGTTTCTCATTCACCCATTCACACGCACATTCATACACCAATGGCGACAGAGCTGCCATGCAAGGCGCTAATCTACCATTGGGAGCCATTTGGGGTTCAGTGTCTTGCCCAAGGACACTTCGGCATGTGGGGGGAACCGGGGATCGAACCGCCAACCTTGTCATCAGTGGACAACCCGCTCTACCACCTGAGCCACAGCCGCCCAACTGTAGTTAAATCAGCTAAAAATATTTGACAGATATTAT